TGTTGGAGAAGAGTACTGAAAGTGCCATGGGCTGCCAAAAGAACCAATAGATCCGTTTTGGAAGAAGTGCAGCCAGAGTGCTCCTTAAGAGGCCAAAATGGTCAAACTTCATCTCTCATACTTTGAACATACTGGTCAGGATGGACCAGTCTCAGAAGAAGGATATCGTGTTTGGTAAGGTGGAGGAAAAGAGCCAATCTATCTTATTGGGGGTCTTCCTAAGTGGCAGGTAGCATCGATGGACTCAAGCGTGGCAACAGTAGTGAGGTTGGCCCAGGATCGTGCAGCATTTTGTTCTGCTGTGCATAGGGTCGCTATGAGTCGGTACCGACTCGATGGCACCTGACAACAACAACTTGAATTTATACACTGTAAAGTGCTTCAGTAACGGAAAGGTTGGCAATTTGAGTCCACCCAGAGGCACCACCCAGATGCCTGGCGATGTACTTCTGGAAGATCAGCTATGGGAAAGCGCAGGAGGGCAGCTGGGTCTGAAACATGCGCGCGCGCGCGCACACACACACACACACACACACGATGCCACATTCCGGAACTGTGAGTCTCGGGGGATGACTCAGCCTTGGTTGAAGTCGGACTTTTGTGTGCTGGGCTCTTAGTGTGAAGCTCCTACAAGAAGTGCAGGATCAGGAACAGCCCATTTGTAAGAAACTGAAAAACAAAACAAAACAATACACACAAAACCCCAACTGCCGAGTGGATTACAATTCATAGTGGCCCTGTATGTAGGGTTTCCGAGGCTGTTAGAAAGCCTCATCTGTCTCCCAAGGAGCGGCTGGTAGATTCGAACTGCTGACCTTGCGGTTAGCATTCCAGTGGTTACTGTACATGCCACACCAGGCTCTCCCCACTCTGCGAGCAGACCCCTAGTGATCTCTCTGAACCCGTTTGAGAGTCGGCAGACTTCCCACTCAGACTCTTCTCTGGTGGCTCAGTGACATGGAGGGCAGACTTCTTGACAGGTGGCATCTTTTCTTCCTCCAGAGAAAATGAGTTTGTAATGCTGCGGACACAAGAAGTGGCCAAAGTTGTCAAAACCGCCACAGACTGCTGACCCATCTTGGCCTTTTTGGCTCTGTCCAGACAGAAATCAAAGATTCTGGAGGCTTCTAAGTGAACGGTGGATGTGAAGACAAGGGACTGGCACTTTGGGGATAAAACAGAGTACGTTTTGAATGATGAACCTCAAGTTAAAATTATGTGGTAAGGCTTTAAAAAGTTTGTGGGAAGATACCATTAACTTTTAATTCAGTTTTTCCACGAACTTTTAGAAGTGCCCCCTTGTATGTATTGAATGAGGAAGCCCGAGTTAAAACAGATGGTGATTTGAACAGATCTCCCCCCAGAACAGCTGTGGAGGGTTTCCTGCCTACAAGCAGTTTCCCTTTGTAAAAACAGGCAGTTTTCTCAAGGGCCGAGAAGGGAGGCCGGCCCCACCAGAGAAGGAGCCATGTAACCAGGAGAGAGATGGACAAGCAGGGTGAGAAGGTCAGACTGCAGCCCACATGGGGAGTAAGCACAACCTCGTCCCTCCTACCCTGGGATCGTGGTCAGAAAGCAGGACAGGGTCTGGGCTTGCCTCCACATGAAGGCAGAGAAGCTCATCCTAGGAAACAGGGATGAGTTCATAGCTGTGGCTTCTGGGGACGACAGGAGAGCACTGGCCATGGGGTACAGACAGGAGGTGATCGTCCCTTGACCCCCTTGCTAGAAGGAAGCCCCAAAAGGTCCACCAGATCCCATAACACACTTTGCTGACATCGATGAAAGATGCTCATAACATACTAACCTGGAAACATGCATCTGCTCCCGGCCACCTTCCCAGGGGGAAACCCAGGCAACCAATGGTAAGAAAGCCACAGAGAAAAATGAGATCTAACTTGATTTCAACAGGTCTGTAAATTATTAACCCCCTTCCTAATGGGACCCATTCATAAAATTATCAACGGGTTGTAAAAGTTGACTCTTGAGGGGCTCAGCAGAGGCTGAAAAGGATTCTCTTTCAAGTCCTACTGCTGGTTTGGGAAAATCTTTTAAAACTCATTTTTCTTAGCTCTGAGAAAAGACTAGTCGTTAAAAGGGGAGTTTTCAGGAGAGACAGAAAAGGGGGCTTCAAAAGTTCATGGTGATGGAACGTTAGATCCCTACCTAGAAAAGTGGCGACAGCAGAGACAGTGGCAGAGGTGGTGACGTGGAGAGACAGAGCAGCTGTGGTCTCTAGGAACATGGACTGAGTAAGGCTGTGTGCCTGTGGGCAGGAGACTGGCTTGCAGAATGTACCACTTGAACATTTAAATTAGTATATATTTTTTGTTTTGTATATGTGCATCTAATATTTTTGCTTTGTTCATTTCTGTAATATAAGGTGTAAATGGGGAAC